GTCAAAGCTATGGTTTTTCCAGTAACGATGTATGGAAGTAAGAGCTGGACTATAAAGAAGGCTGACCACTGAAGAATTGATGCTTTTGAATTGTGGTGCTGGAGGGGACTCTTCAGAGTCCCCTGGACTGCAAAGAGAAAAACCTATCCATCTTGAAGGAAATCATCCCTGAGTGCTCACTGGAAGGACAGATCCTGAAGCTGAGGCTCCAATATTTTGGCCATCTCATGAGAAGAGAAGACTCCCTGGAAAAGATCCTGATGTTGGGAAAGTGTGAAGGCAAGAGGAGAAGGGGATGACAGAGGACGAGATGGTTGGACTGTGTCATTGAAGCTACCAACATGAATTTGACCCGACTCCAGGAGGCAGTGGAAGACAGGAGGGCCTGGCGTGCTCTGGTCCATGGGGTCATGAAGAGTCAGACACGACTGAACAACTAAACAACAACAACCCTGGAACAGTGTAATCCAAGCTCAAAGATAAACATTTGCTGTAGCTGGTTTGAAACAAGCAGAAACCCTTGCACCAGCACAACTAGCCTTGTGTCATTATGCCCCATTGTGTTGGTTGATCTCACATCTGCTGGCACAGCTGGATTTGCAAACATAATTACTGTGCTGGCTGAATTCAGCTGGCAGAGATGTCAAAAGGGGGCCAGAGAAGGAAAAAGGAGACTGAGAAACAGACTTATGGCAGATTCAAGCTTCTCTCAGCAGTTAGGCTAGCACAAAATTAGGCCAATCTCAGTGTAGTCTTAAATTCTTCCAGCATTCTTAGGTTGGGAGAGATTTGCACTGAGCACAGCTTTATCTAGTTTAATTGTCAGCTCAGGCAGACCCCAGCCATCTTGACCAGTTAGGATCACATCCTCAGTATGTAATTGGCTTTAGCAAAAACAACAGGGAGTGTTGTAGCACCTTAAAAAACTAACACATTTTATTTAACATAATTTTTGTAGACTGTAACCCACTTTAACTTCAGATTAAACTTGTAATTCTTGTCATTTTGAAATATATAAACTGCAAGTAGGTCAATTGCATTGTATTTTATAACCCTATGCCCTTAGCATTCCATTCCAACTGAATGCTTACAGAGTCATATATAAATAGGTATCTCCCATCTTCATATACAAATGAAGTACATTTTGCTGTGATTAGCTGTCAGAACTGTCATATCAATTATTACTTCAGCCCAAACTGAATGGTTAAATGGATTCTTCATTAGGAATTTCATGAAGTAAGTATGTGATGCCTTACAGTCTTAGCCTAAGCTTTGCCTCACTCCACAGTTTGCAAATCAGCTTGCTTTTGCTTTGTGATTGGTCTTTGAAGGTCCACACATACTTCATTTGGAAGCAGACTGTGTTGTGCAGTAGATTGTGCTTGAAGAACTGGGTACCTGGTACCTGGAGGAGGGGAAAAACTAATAGCAGAAAATGCTCATTCTGTGTTTTTTTATCTGTACAAATACAGTCTACAGCATAGGTTCCCAAAGTGGTCTATATGGACCCCCAGGAGTCGATTTTGACTTGCAGGGGGTCCACGTCAGAGAGACAAAAAATTGGGGGGTGCACGAGAGGTAAATGGGGGTCTACGTGAGCAGATCCCATTAGGCAAATCATAATAAATATTTAGGCGATCCGTAATTACACCAAACACAGATTCTGTGTACATAATATTTCATAATATTATTTAATCAGGTACTATGTACTATCTGTACTATGGTGTGCTACATTCATGTGTAAGTTCGTAAAATTATTGGTAACATTTTATGGTAAATGTCGGTGTGTTGTAAATGGGATCAACGACATTTTGTCATTTCTCATTACTGAGCTATACGGGCAC